GGAGAGATCGTGTTAAGGTTTGTGGGGTGAGCAACTCATTCAGGTAAGTCGGCAAGTCGGATCCGTAACTTCGGGATAAGGATTGCCTCTAAGGGCTGGGTTTAAACAGGATCTTTATTGCTAGTGTGTTGTATAGAATATTTAATATGTAGAAAAAAATTAATCTAGCTTTGAATTTTCAGATTTTCAAATAAAATGACACTGCTGATTTCATTTAGAGAATAAATATAGATTTTTGCTTTCACTAATTCCAGGATGAAATGAAAACTCTTCCAGTGTGAAAACAGCTGTAGACTCCACAATTACATTTATATAAATCCATAATGTGGAGAAATGGAATTAGATTATGGAAAAATTAGAGGAAATGAATAATGGGAGCAAATCATATGTGAAAATAAAACCCTCTAACAAAGATTTAAGTTTAACTCTGTGGTTCCCAAACTGGGGGCGCAGAGGTTTTGCGGAGGGGCGCACCAATGGGATAACCTCAGGGGCATGTGCCACCCTAAAATAATCTCTTCACAGTATTTCAAATAAAGTTTGAATCTGAACCTGTGTAGCTTGAATGCAGAGAAAGTTTGGGAACCACTGGTTTAACTTCACTTCCAAAAAATCTTAACTTTGTTTAAGTGGGATTAATTTTGATACCAATATAAATCCCCAGACTCAACTTGACTCAACAGCAGCTGATACACTTCCTTATTGGTTCCATGGTTCCTGCTTCCAGCCCCTAAGCCTGGGCCTCTACAGAAGCGTGTGGAACAGTAATGTGTGTATCATACTGAAGGATGTATCTGCAGTAGCCTTCTAATGATCATCTGTTTAAACTCCAGTGAATGTACTGAGACTAACAGAAAGAGAGTCAGCGCTGTTATCAGGACTGGTTCTCTTACTCCACACTTCCCTCTATTCGGCACCATAAGTTCTCCTTCTCTTTTGAAGTCTTTCTCTTCAGCAGTCTTTTTTGTCTTTGTATTCCTGTGTATATTTTTGTACACTTTATTTATTTATTCTTTATATTTGTTAGAAAATTGACAATAAAGACAAATAATGACTGTTTCTCTTGTTTTATTTTTATGTAGATGAACAGTGATTTCATTTTAATATGTTCACCAAAATTTTATTTTAAATCCAATTCAAAAAAAGAAATTCCCATTGTGCTTTCGAATGTCACCCCAGTCCCAAGGATCTTTAGCTTTACTTTAGTGGGACTAATTTTAATCCCAGTATCAATCCCAAAGACCCACCTTTAAATGAGCTGGACCAACTGCAACTGATGCATTCCCAAACCCAGCTCGAGTCATGGCTCCTGCTTCCAGCAGCCCGTTAGCATCAGCCTCTACAGATGCATGTGGACCTTTAGCCCCAACTGAAAAGATGCTCCACTTAGCTCCAACTCGTCCTACACCAGCCTCAGCTTTGAATCCAGGTTTAGGAATACGCTTCCCTGGTTTGTTTTCAAATCCACACGCGTATTCGTCGGTGCCAGTATACGCTCCTTTAGCGTAGCAATCTGCTGGTTTGTTGTAGGTATTGATCATTTTTAAAACGCCCTTTGCTCTTGGGCCTGGAATGTGTTTTAAAAATATAATTTTTGAAATTTTCTGAACTAAGTCAATTGATTTACACCACAGTGCTGTTGACTTCAGCTCTGATCACATTAATAATATTAATGCACTTGTTCCAATATGTTACCATTTCACACACACGCACACCCCTCCGGCAACTACCCTCCAACCGGCCTGCCCTTGGCTCAACACGATGCCTCGCCATCCATCCTGCGGCTGTGTGTCTATTAATCCTGCCATCGTGCATCAAGCACCACGTGCCTGCACCGGTCGGCCGCTGCATTGAGACATATATTTCAACCCCTGTATTAGCTTAGTCATTTCATCTTGTCTGTATTAGCTTAGTCATTTCATCTTGTTTGTTTGACTCATCTGCCGGCCCCTGGAGGATGGGCTCCCCCTTTGGGTCTGGTTCCTCCCAAGGTTTCTTCCTCTTAGGGAGTTTTTCCTTGCCACCGTTGCCTTTGGCTTACTCAATGGGGGGTCCTTACGAGGCAGAAATGTAAAGCGCATTGAGACAATGTAATGTTGTGATAATGCGCTATATAAATAAAATTGAATTGAATACTAGAAGTGTTTGAAATGTATGACATCCAAATCCACAGAGTACACAATTAATACAACAGATATTCAACGATATTTCAGAATATTAACTGAAATTACAAAGTGCAAATTTTTTTAGTGTTGAATTTTATTCTTGTTGTATGTAAGATGAAAGAAAACATTGTTTCTTCTTTTTCTTTTAATTACATTTAAGTTGATTTGCCTTATTTTGTGTTAAATACTTTGAAATGTGACTAAGCAAAATATATTTAACTGTAAACTTACATTGCTTAACAATATTATTTTTTGTGATTTTTGTCAGTAACTAGAAAATTATAAATCATTTAGTTAAAATGTTTTCTTTTTCTTTTGTTGTTATTGAGGAAAAAATGTAAAATTCCATGATATTGAGTATTTTCCTAAACAAAACCTCTGATAAAAATAATGTGCTAGTTACAAATAATAATTTAAAATAAACATAATATTATTAAAAAATGAATCATATTGAAAAGCAGGAATAGTACAATAGTGCAATATATA